ATTTTACGCCCCCCCCCCCCCCCCTCCCCTTTGGCCCCCATTTTTTTGAAAATGAAAATGGGAGGAATAATTTTTTTTGAAAAATGAGTGGTTGAAAAAGAAAGAAGAGTTTTCAATTTACGTGTAATATTATTTTTATGCAAGATTGTGTAATTGAAAATAGGAAAGAAAAAAATATAATGTAATGGAATGAAAATTAATGGGGGCTAAACAGGGGCTTATAACATAACTACATTATAAAGTATGTGTTTTACTTAAGAATCCCTTAAATAAATGAAATTGTTATATAAAATATTAACTTATTTTCAAAAAACCATTACCTATACGATAAGAAAACCGTTAAAAAAAAAAAACAAACAAACAAAAAACTTAAGATAAGAACTATCAAAGTTTGAGAATAAGATGCTAATTAGTCAAACTCCAACATAGAAATTCAGTTAGGCTTTCAAGAGGCTGCATTGGAGGACAATTAAATTTTTTACTGTACTAGTTTGTTTACATGACTCAATTTCATGTATTTATTTATACTCTCTTCAATCAGAACTAATATAATCAACATCAAAAGAACAATAGAGGAGTTGCTGGAAAACTACTTTACATTCAGGAATAGTCAAAGTCGAAAGTCATTGATCAAAATTTTAAAGTGAATAACATTTTGCCTCTCTAGGACTTATATTCCAAAACATAAGATTCTAAGTTTCCAATTAATATTTGAGGTGCAAAAATTTAAATCAAACACCAATAAAATGAATAGAGTAACGATGTATACAAACATAAAAATAAGTCCAACACTATGAACTCCCAACCATCAACACCGAAGCAAAAAATCTAATATGTATGACCAAAAAAATCAACTGTAATCCCCAAAACAAATAATGGATTCTAACCCAATTCAAAAAATAAAGATAGAGGCATCAATTCCACCGATTATAACCCTAAACTAAACTAAACATCAAGTTTTTTGAATTTTTCGGAAACTTTCACAAATATTGAAACAAACATAAAGGGAATAAATCAAACCTCCAAGAATATAGAGTTGGAAAAAATTAGATAAAATACAAAAGAAAAAGTATCATACTTTAAAAGCAATTGGAAACTATTATAAATCATGAAAGCAAACGACAAAGCGCATACCTCTATAGCTCTTGGACCAGTTCTTTCATTCGGATTTCATTCGGATTCAGTGGATTAATTCGACGACCAACATACACTTGTCCGAATCCTCCTTTCCCAGTTTCCTCTCAATTCGATATGCCAGAGGACTACCAACCTGGACCTGTTGTGCACGAGGAAAACGGTAGTAAATATTCAAACTAAATGCAACAAATAAGCTACCGACATAACTTCAAGTCAGATTCTATAGGAGATTAAAGCTTGCATACAATTTTTTAGTTAATCAAATAGGCATGTAACTCAAATTTTGAAACATTTCAGCTCTATAGAACAATTCCAGTCAGAATGCTATGTGAATCTATTAGCATACATTAGATTATGCGTACGGTAAAATTTAATTTGACAATTTTAGCATGTACGAATCCACTCGTTGCAAACTGACTCCCT